ACCTCAAACCAGATTATAAAAGCAGCACCTTACACCAGCTACTCAGGCAACATTAACTTTTGGGAATCATGTTTTCAACCACTTCCCATCTTGTAGGTCAAACCACATCATTTCAATGCTCAAAAACCTTGACCACTCCAACCCTATGCAGAGTAAACCTCAAACTGTTTAGAAGGTTTTCAGAACATGTAAATTCTCACTCTGGCTGCTACACTTAACACAGTTCTCAAGAAAAGCTAACACAGACATTATTATCCAAAGAGCTGAGCTCAGCCTTGTTGCTGCACCATTTTGGTTAATCCTAGACCTCTCTTTCCCTGCCCTTCTCTGCTGGACACACTCATGATTTGAATCCAGCTGAAATGATCACCCTTCTGCAGAGCATTTCTCAAAGCCTTCATGTCACTTTATGCATACCTATATTTTAACAAATATTACGGTTTTCATAATTGCCTACTTCTCTATTTATGGGATCTAGAAAGCTCCTAGAGAGCAGAACATTGATGCATTCATTCATCTTTTTGTTTCCTCCACTAAAAATAAGGACTGTTTATTACAGGCTTTCAGTAAATGGTCCTTTCCCTTTTTTGAATTATATGGACATGAAAAAGATAACATCCTCTCACTTCTTTTCCCAGTAAAAGTCATTTTTAGAGGTCAAGAATGCCAGCTTTTAAAAGGACTGAAAGAGGAATCCAAGGATATAACCGCATTGCCTTTAGCCACAGGCAGTCTGAGGATATAATCTTTTATGGTTGCCAGTGACTCCATATTTTGTAACTCTTCGACTCTCTTGGCATATTACTGGCAGAAAGCATTGCAGAGGTAGTTATTGAACTCCATCTCTTCTGTCAGGCAGTCACACAAACAAGCAAAACTTCAGGCATGACTTTATGACTCTTAAAAATATAAAATCAGTTCAAGGACTCCAGCTCCTAAAAAAAAAAAGAATACAAAAGCTACATTTTTAATAACATCTGCTGGACAAGCATAAAAGCTGAAGTTAGTCATATGTGCTCACCTGTGTGATGAATAATATATTGTCAGTGCAAATGGGTATTGCCTGTAAATTAAAATAATGCTCACATGGAATAATCAGTACTTATTTAGAAGATTAAGAAAATCACAAAAGACACAAGAATGTTTGTTTACAATATTGTTTTATTTTTTATTTCTTGTCTTTGGTTAAGTCAGGATGACAGAAAATATTAATTTGAATAACTGCTCCCACAAACAGATATGGAAGTGTTAGTTTTGAAGTGAAAAGGTGGCCTGTTTTCTCTCATAGATTTAAAAGAATTATTGCCATTAACAATTAAAATTAATCATGCAAGAAGAGGAGACATGGAAATGGACAGATTAGGACAGCATTGACAAAGTCCCCAAAATGGTTTCAATTTAGACATTCTGGTATGTGACTAATTTTTCTCCTTGCAGTCCTCATTAAAAAATACTCCTGGGAGAAATAGTTTATAAACCTAATCCACAATAAAATACTAATGACTTGCAAGGTCGCTGTTCCTTTTCAAATCAGAGCTACTGAAAATATTCTACACCTGAGAACAGAGAGCAGGAAAAATTCCCAGTTAAGTACAGGGCTTTGCGTTTCTGTTAAGAGACAAACAGGGACTTTTCAGAGGTTGTACTATCCTCTCCACTAAAATATTCTTCATGATTCCATTTAGGATGACAGGAAGATAAACAGTTGCATAAGGAATGTAGTAGAATCCCAAGTCGCAATGTTGTAATTCCTACACATTGCATTGGAAGAATGTACTGAGCCTGGCATACTCCAACTCCTCTTTCCTGGTTTAGGGACTATTATAAATTTAGATTTACTGTTTTTTTTCCCCCTTGAAAACATGAAAAGGCAATAGTAGATAGAGTAGTTAAACCTTTTCTCTGCAGAATAAGGGTAAATTCTATGAGGGTGGCAGTCATGTCTGTTTAGCTCGAAATTTTATCTCCAGTATTTACTATAGTACATAATACATGGAACAAAGATACAAAGTACTTATGAGTGGGTAGGTGGAAAGAAGGTAGGGAGAAAAGCTGGGTAGGAAGTGTCGTTGTTTCTCCTATGATAGATAATTACTATGGAAACATTTTACCCCATCATCTCCTTTTTGTTGTTGTTGTTTTGTTTTTCTCCGGTACCGGGAACCGAACTCACGACCTTGCGCTTGCCAGGCAGGCGCTTTTGCCGCTGAGCTAAATCCCCAGCCCCATACCCCATCATCTCTGACACTTTTCTTCAGCAGAAATGTTGAGGACAAAAGGTAGAGAATATTTTAAAACACGTGACCATACTATTTATAAAGCTATACTGCCAACTACCCTCAAGAATACAACTAAGGTAACAGGTCTGAAAGTGTAATAGATGATTAATTCCAAAATATCTCTGGGTCAGATGCTGTCACATTTATGTTTGTAATAACTGGTGAAACCAATTTTGATACAAGTACCATATATTATATCATTTTGAAGATGTGAACTGAACTGAGGGTGTGGGCAGAGCCAAAAAGTTCAGCTCACCAAAGAGGCAAGCGAAGGAGGGCGGGCTGAGCAAGTGTCAGGTTTGAGTACAGTGGTGGTGCAGAATTCTGAGATGTGTAGCCTAACTGACCACCTCGTCTTGGTTCCCAAAGTAGGTGTGTGTGGGGGCGGGAGTATATAAGTCTGAGTAAAACTCAAGAAGAGAAGCAGCTGCTGGTAGCATGATTTTATAACACTATAGGTATTTTTATTTATGTACAGATGAAAATTGGAAACTACCAAACAAAATCTCGCAACAAACATTCAAGGTTAAATTATTTAAACTGTTTTAGCCAGCCTTTCCCTCCCGCTTCCAGGTAGATTGTATTCTGGCCACAAACAATCAAGTTAAATATTTTATTAGCCCCGAACATAATTAAAGAAGTTGTAGATTAAATGGTACATCGTTCCTGGCTTCAGATATCTTTATTTAACAGACCCCTTAATGGGTCAATTTAAAGGATTTTTACACCTATAAGAAAACATGTTAACTGTTCTTTCTCATAAAGTTTGTATTCCAAAAGTTTTTAATGCTTGCTATTTTGTCTCACAGTCCTTTCTAATTTCCGCTAGTATAAATCAATTTTGATTTATTAGCTTGGTACAAAGGAACTGCCGTACGTTTTTAATAATAATTATCATTATCACTGATTAAAGTTATATTGTTCTGGCCAGATGGAGTCCTTATCCTGTCAGCTACAATGAGTTTGCATTATGTGATTATAATGTGTTTGGATCTAAATAAACAGATGGGCGAGTGACAGGATATTATACACTGGTGATGTCAGTCATGGTCTCTCACAAACAGAATTGCTTTAAATAAACTGTGGCAGCAAGGATCCTCATACTTTTAAACCAATAACAAGGAGTGAGCCTGAGTATGTAACTTGGAAATACTACCACTCACTTCCAAGAGGAAGCTGTCAGAGTGGCTGGAGGTTCTGTTTCTGCTGATCATGTATTGTAACTGTGAGAGCAGCTGTCATTGTAGCTCATTCAGGAAACTTCACTGGGGGAGTGTTCTTCAAGTGGTAAGGTCTTCTAAGCCCAAATTTAAAACCAGTAGGCTAAGTAAAGATGGAAATATTTGGTAGAAGTATTTGAAAATTTTTACAATACGGTTACCTTTACTCAACAGCAAATTTGCAATTAACATAAAAAATCACAGGGCTTTAACAGCAAACTTGTTATAGAAAAACTTTGGTCCTTACTAGGTCTTCATATCTATGTTTTATTCTAAACCATAACCCACATGACAAAATCTAACCTGAAATTCAGAAACAACCTTCAAAGAAAATTATTTCACACAATTTCTAGCTAATATTTTTAGTTTTGAGTCCTTGTGGGAATTTATAGGACAACTATGCTTGTTGAGGCCAATTTCCATAATAGTCCATAGTAGATAAAGATACCACTGTAGAGACAGGAATGGTGGCACACACATATTATTCCAGCGCTCTGGGAGGCAGAGGCAGGAGGATTGCAAATTAGACCTCAGCCTAGGGAATTTAGCAAGAACCAGGCTCAAAAATAAGATGCAAAAAATGGAGCAGCAATGGAGCTCAACGCAAAGGCCCTAATTTGAATCCCCAATATCACACACACACACACACACACACACACACACACAAATGAAGGAAAGAGAAAGAAAGAAAGAAAGAAAGAAAGAAAGAAAGAAAGAAAGAAAGAAAGAAAGACAAATAAATGTGGCACTATGAAAATTAAAGGCCAACATATGAAAATGGATAGAGTAGCAATACAATTTTGAAAGCAGGTATTAAATAGCTGAAATTGAGCATCATAAAAAAATTAGCTCTCACAATGTTGTATTTCATCTTTTATTCTGATGTTTGAAATGTACTTAAAAGAATATATTCTCATGCTTAAAAATTCAGCTATTTCATTTTCATCGGTTGCAGCCATTAATCTGTGAACTCTAGAAATTATATCAAATGGAATAGATCAATAGAAAAAGGAGTATTCAATTAAATGAAGCTTATTAGTTAATATAACTATTTAATTCTAAGTATTTTAGCAAATTCATTTATTTTCCTTTCACATAAGATGTTGAGAGGATTTTGAATACCAACAGACTGTGCTTCAGTTGTGCAATGTGGGATTCTTGGGATTTACTGCTTAAGTGGGCATTTTATGAGCTACAATTTAATGCTGGTATGACATTAAAGAATGTTCCCTTTAAGAAGTTACTTCTCGGGGCTGGGGATTTAGCTCAGCGGCAAAAGCGCCTGCCTGGCAAGTGCAAGGTCGTGAGTTCGGTTCCCGGTACCGGAGAAAAACCAA